TTTTTTTTTTTTTTTTTTGATTTAAATAAAAATTAATTATTTTCTTTTTTTTTTTCTCTATGGTAAATAAATAAAACTATGAAAAGCATAGAGTAAGAAAATATTTAAACAATGAAATGAAAGAAACCGAAAAGAAAAATATTCCTGTGACTAACTTTTCTTATTTTAATTTTTGTAAATTTATTATTATTATTATTATTATTATTATTATTATTATCATTATCATTATTATTATTATTATTATTGTAAAACAAAACATAATAAATTGATTTAAAATTTTCTATTGAATATTCACGATTTTCTCACGATTCATTTCTTTTTCTCTTTCATTATTTAAATAAATACATATAATGGCAATAATTATAATCATCATCATCATCATCATCATCATCATCATCATTATTATTATTATTATTATTATTATTATAAACGTTATTAAAACTTAAATGAATAAAAAAAAAGAAAAGGAAGAAAAAAAAAGAAAAAAGAAAACGATGAATGATTTTTCAACCGTAATTAAATCTTTCATTTTATTTTCTTTTTTTTCACGTATGCCAACTTTTGAAAAAAAAATTTTTTAATTTTTTTTTCAACTCGAAAACTTTTCTAAAATTTTCTTTTTTTTTTTTTTTTTTGCATTTTCTATTTACACGTTTTTATTTAAAAGAAAAAGAAAAGAAAAAAGAAAATAAAAAGAATTTTATTCATCAACTTATTCTTTCTTTCTTTCTTTCACGCGGTAGTATTTAATAACTTAAATAAAATGCCTTGAGAAAATTATTATTATCATCATCATCATCATCGTCATCATTATTATTATCATCATCATCATCATCATCATTATTATTATTATTATTATATCTTAAATAAAATGAATTTAAAATATTTAAATTCGTATTATTTTAACATGTTTAACCTTTTCTTTCCTAACCGAAATTACTCCTACACTTCTCTCTCTCTCTCTCTCTCTCTTTCTCTCTCTTTTTAGCATTTCCTCTCTTTCCATCTATCTATCTCTCTCTCTCTCTCTCTCTCCTTTTTATACTTTTTATCCGTGAACTATTATTATTTTAAAATCACTGTTGTTGTTGTTGTTCTTCTTCTTTTTCTTTTTCTTATCTAATCCCTATCTTATTTTATTTTTCTTTCCCTCCCTCCTTTCCCCCTCCCTCGCCCCCTCTCTCTTAACCTAATTTATACCTAAAACCCGTTTTATCTATTTTTCATTTTCTTTCTTAACTTTTTCTTTCCCATAGAAAAAAAAAAAAAAAAAGTTTTGAAACAAATTTCCTTATACAATCGATATTTTAATGCTTGAAACGTGTGTGCAACAATATTTTCGAGCTTCTCATATACATATTCCCAATTTTTTTTCCCCCCCACAAAAAAAATTATTATTATTATTATTAAAAAAAAAAAAAGCAGAAGAAAAAACATTTTTCCCGCGTAAAAAATAATTATTTAAAAAAAATATTTACGAAACGAATTCAAAAAAAAAAAAAATTAACGTCGACGGCTTAATTAAAATCCACGAACGTTAATTTTATTCATTCATTTAAATCATTAATTAAATTTTCGTTAATTAATTGAATTATTTATTTTTCAATGAAAGATCAATAATAATAATAATAATAACGATCGACAACGATTAATAATTAATAATCGGTACATAAATAAATAAATAAATAAAAAGGTTAAAAATAAATTTTTAATTTTAATAATAAAGAGATTAAAAAAATGTTTTCCTTATTTAACAAACAAAAACGTTTTTTTCACGAAAAAAAAAAAAAAAACGATTGAAAAAATAATAATAATAATAATGATGATGATGATGATGATAATAATAATAAATTTTGTTTTTTTTTTTTTTCATTTTTATTTTTTTTGCTCCGGATAAGATTGATGAATGAGAGAGAGAGAGAGAGAGAGAGAAAAAAAAAAGGATTATGTTTTATGAAACGGTAAATCATCATCATCATCACCATCATCGTTCGTGAACAAACAAGAAAGACGAACGAAATAAATAATAAATAAATAAATAAACACGTGACGTGCTTTTTTTTTATTTAAAAAAATGTATTCGTTAATGTTTATTTTCCGCAAAAAAAAAAAAAAAATTCCCACGTTTCTTTCAAAAGATTATAAATAAATTTTAAAACGATCAAATACGTTATGATTAATTTTAAACAAAAAATTATAAGAAAGCGTTAAAGTAGCAGACGACGACGACGACGTCGACGAAAAACAAAAACAAAAACGAGTGTATAAACGTACTGCGAGTGAGAACGAGAGAGATAAATAGATACTGCGAGTAAGAGAGAGAGAAAGAGAGAGATAGATACATAGATAGATAGATAGAGAGAGAGAAAGAGAGAGATAGATACATAGATAGATAGAGAGAGAGATAGATACATAGATAGATAGAGAGAGAGAGAGAGAAAAAAATTATTTTTAAATTAGATTTTTCCGCCATTTTCCTCTCTGACGTAAAACATAAACTTCTACATTATGTACGTAAAAAAAAAAAAAAAAAAAACAAAAATCTAATAATTGATGATGATGATAATGATGATGATGATGATGATACAGATAATAATAATAATGATAATAATTAAAATTGACAAAATTAAATTAAAATAAATTTCCCGTTAATAAAATATTATGTATATATATATAATTATAAAATTTATTCGTAATGATTTCACATCGAGTAATCCGCCATTTTGAAAATAATAATAATAATAATAATAATTTTCAACGAAATTAATAATAAATAATAATAAATAATTAATAACCCATTGTGAAAAAACAATAATAATTCACACTTTTACGTTAATAATTCGCACTCGTTATTAATTAATTAATTAATATAAATAATTAATTTATATTTTAAATTACGAAAATGTTTTCATCATCATCATCATCATCATCATCGTCATCATTATCATCATTATTATTATTATTATTATCATCATCTCTAATTATTTTTTTTTTTTTTAATGACGGTTTTATTTTTATTTATTCATAATTTTTTATTTTGCATTCGTCAAAATCATTTCGAATGAAAATTTTTTTTCGTATGCGACGTCATAAATACGATTTTAATGACGGATAACGTTTGGGGTAAAAAAAAAAAAAAAAAAAATTATTAACGATAGCAAATATCAAAAAAAAATAGAAAAACGAAAAAAAATTTTGCTGTTAAAAAAAAATTTTTTTTCGACGACGAACGACGTAATAAATGAAAATCTTTTTTTTTTTTTTTTTTTTTTTTTTTAACCGACGATAATGATAATAATAATAATCCAAGTTATCCGAAAATAAATTTATATATATTAAACTGTAATAATGCGTGATACTTGAACGATAGCAAAAAAAAAAAAAATTTTTTTTTAAGCTTTCCTTTTTTTTTCGTAGGAAAATTATCAAAGAAAAACTTTTCTTTTTTTTTTTTTTTTAAATCAAAAGAAAAAAATAAAAAAATAAATGTAAAATCGATAATAAAATTAAAATTTTTCCTTTTTTTTTTTTTTTTTTGCTGTCGTTCAAAGGAAAGAAAAAGGTTGATTGATGAATGATGATGATGATGATGATGATGACAAAAAAATGATTGTCCAAATGAACAAAAGCATTTTCATTTGACAAAAAAAAAAAAACAAAATAAAAAATATAAAAATATGAATATGAATATATATATGTATAAATAATTTTTAAAAAGAGAGAGAGAGAGAGAGAATAATAATAATAATAAAAGGAAAAAGGAAAAATGAAAATAATAATAATAATAATAATAATAATAATAATAATAATAATAATAATAATGATAATAAAATTTTGAAAATGTCGTTTAAAAAATAAATTAAATTTACTCAAACGAAAAGTCAAATCAAAAAAACTAAATTCTCGGCAACAAAAAAAAAAGCGAAAAAAATGACGTAAATTC